CGAAAAGAATTTGGCTTTAGCCGAGATTTGAACCCTGGTCCTTTTTTCACGGGAACTCATCACTCAAACACTTTACGATTTAATTTGACATTTATAATCTAATTTGCTTTAGATAATTTCAAAAATTCACTGAAATGTGCGGTTTCTTAATAAATAAATATATCTAGTGGATTGCTATTATTACGAGAATTATTTTTAATTACATTTTTACTTAGTAACTAAAAAATATACTAACAATTAGTTTTACAGAATTGTAACAAATTTAAACATGAACTATTGTTGGTGAATTTCAGATAAATTCTTGAATGGATATGAAATTATATCCGATCAGTAGACATGGCTGACATATTCAATCTGTAGTTTGTACAGAAAATAAATAATATACATGTGTGTATGTTGGAAAATAAAAAAATTACATAGCATCAAACTTGGCATCAAGCAATGCATACACCTAATGAAATTTTCATGTAAATTAATATGTGTAATTTTAATAGTTGGTGGTAGAAAAGGTAAATTTTCATAACTGTTTCCTCCATAACAACTTAGAGCCGTTTGGAAAGGTATCTAATACTATTTATCTCACATATAGTTTAAAATTTTCTCTTCGTGATTGCATATATTGCTTGTAAATGATAATGTTTAAAAAAAATTGAAAACTAATTTTATATTGATTTAAATTCTACCAACGTATTCATATATTTTTATTTTACTTTAATTTTTATTGTCTATTGCACAAATCTTTTTTGGGTTCTCTAAAATAGATATGACCGAAAAAAATTGAATTTATTGAGCCTTATATTAATAAGAAATGGTTGTACTCCTAAAAAAAGGGCAAACATTTTAAGTTAGAAGTTAAATATTAACAATACTAATGACTATTTTTAACAATTTATTACCTTATGTATACGTTAAATGTGTCAAAAAATCATTATTCATTAATTTAGTATTTGTAGACATAAAAAAAATCATATTTTTTGCTATATCCATATCATCACATTTACTGATGGGATCACACTTTTATATCATGCCAATTTTACACAGCTTTTTACATGTATATATATTAAACCATAATGAAAATTTTATAAAACATTAACATGTTAATTTTATACTTTGTTATATATTTCATTATTATGTCTTCCTTTCTTTCATACATTTTTGATCAATTGTAAGAAATTCATCTGAACAACTTATTGCAACTGAAAATATCTATTTTAACTAATATAATTAATTGTTTGTATAAATAGAAGACTAAACAAAAAATTATTATTAATTAAATTTAGAAAATTTATATACTACATGCTTCCATGCGTGTTTTCCATAAATACTTGTCCACTGCGTCCCGTCTTCATTCCATGGTTAAATATATTTAGGAAAATACTGTAAACAAAATTTAAAGCCTAATGCGTAAAGCCAAATTAATATAGTTTCAATTTTAAATGAACATATGTATACAGTACTTATTTTTTCCTGTCTGACATAGCCATTTATTGAGAGCAACATAACGGCAACAAAGCTATCCTACACGAATTAAGTCTGATCGGATGCGCCGTTGCCAATTATATTTCTATATACCTCATGTCAGGCAGAAAAATAGGTACTGCATGTAATTATACCGGAATGTACATTAGTAGTATTATCACAATAATTGTTCATTTATATTTTCCTTGTTTGCTATTTGTATACAACGGGAATATTTAGTGGTAAGATATTTTAGGACTAAATAAACGTTTTGTTTTGAAATTAAAACTTAGTTTTATTATAAAAATAACCTTCTTTTAGAGTTCGAAAGAAATTAAATTAATTTTATGGAGACACTAAAGCTCAAACACATGGAGACTACACAAGGAGCACGCACTCCATGTATAACAAGCGTACTGTGTTAAACAGAGTATTTTAAGAGGGCGCTAAGCGTGTTCCATAAGTACCAAAATGGCATAAGAGAATGAGGCGGTAGTTTGAAATAAAATAAATAATTCTAATTAATTATTAATTACTTAATTAATTATAACTCTAATTATATTTATTTAATTTAAAAACATTTGACACGTGTTTACGTTAATTAAATAATCGGTTACTTTATTTTCACGCTAACTTCACATTTGTTTATTCCTCTATATTCACACCGGTACAAAAGTAAAATTAGCGACGCTAGTGGTGAAAAAAGAAAGCTTTATTTATACGATAAAGCGCGGACATACTCTGGCAAATGCCACACTTGAGTGCGTGCTCCTTGTGTAGTCTCCATGCTCAAACAGCTCGAACTTTAACTAGCGTCAGACTAGTTGACAATTAATTGACTGCGTCGGGTGAAGTTATAGAATTTCTAGTCAAAATCTGGCGACGAAAAACTACGAAAAGTACACCTACCTATTAGTCGTATTATACTATGTTCATATAAAAAAAAACAGAGACTAACACGAAGACACGTATTCAGAATGCTTTAAAAAGTAGTTTACAGGGTGTTGAACCAAATTCAGTTTTTGTACTAGATAACGCGTCTTATCACAGCTGACGAGTTAAACGTATTTCGACAATATCCAGTAGGAAAGCGGATATACAAAGCTGGCTTTGGGATAAAACAAAAATATTTACTAAGGAGATGTTTAAAGTGCAATTAATGGACCTTATAAAGAAACAACACCATAAATATATTCAATATATTGTCGACACAATAGCCCATGATCGTGATAATACGTTACTAAGGCTTCACTGTGAATTCAATCCTATTGATCTAATTTGGACGCAAGTGAAAGGGTTTGTGGCTCAAATAAACAATACATTTATAATAGCTGACGTTCAACGTTTATTAAAAACCAATATAGAACGTATAATTCTAAAGATTGGCAGAATCCTATTTCTCACGTAATTAAGGAATAAATTAATATGTGGCGCTTGAAACGGTAATTGAACCTTTAGTCATAACTTTAAGTTCCGACCGTAAAGACGATTATAGTGATCAGATATCACATATCAGAATCAACGGATTGCAATACTTTATAAATTCAGAAGTCATGTAGGTGATAGCTTAATTTACAGATTTTCACAATAAACAAAATAAAAGAATAAAAATAGATACCCAACCTACTTTCATCTATTAATATTCAGTAATACCCCATTTAAATAATCTACGCCACTCGGACAATAGATTTTGGCAATGAACATGCATAGATGACTAGTTTGGCACGTGATACCGATAGCTTATGCAGTCATATGGCGCGTGGTACACATGTTATATGTGATATCATTCATAATTCACTCGTATAGTACGATGATCGTACGTGAACAGAGAGTCCCTTATAGGACTCCAAAAAGTGGCACATCATCGTTTTTGTTTGCTATTTGTAGTTGGGTAGGTACAGGGCAGAGTTGGGTCGGATACAAGTAAAAAGTACCGGATCCGGATACTTTTTAAAAAAGTACAGATACATTCACCTAAAAATGTACTCGGATACAAGTATCCAAACCTTTTGTTTTGTGGATACTTTAAAGGATACTTTTTTGGGATACTTTTAAAGTGAGTTAAAGTAATGTTTTTATACCAATATTCAAAATTTATGAATTCAATGTAAACCCTCATCTGACTGCAAAAAGTGACACGTCATGTTTTTTTTATTGCTATTTGTAATTGAAAAGGGGAGCGAACAAAATGTACTATGTCCCGGTGGTGGGAACTGTCGTGTGACCTGTCAAATTCAAAGTAAAGTTCCTTATCAATGGATATTTTCGTTTTTTGCTAGAAATGAAAAAGCTTTTAGACGTCTGTATGATAATAAAAAAAACCGTCGAAGCATTATCTGTCGCCCAGTTTTGTTATGTCTGGTGTTGGCGTGGGTTTTTCAACGAAATTGGAGATATAGCATAAACGCGATTTTTCTAAACTTAAAATGGTATTGCAAGCATTTTTTTTGTGTCGAAGAAAGAGTTGAGATACAAAAAAAAAATGTAAAATAAGTGTAAAATCAAAACCAAAAATCTAAAAATGGTTTAATTACTTTCAAAATATTTGTATTACTCTCATATAAGAGTATTGTCCTCTCAAGCATTTTTTATTTGGAGTTTCTACCCCATTCAGTCTTTTATCCGGCCTGGGTTTTCGAAAAACAAAAAAATATCAAAATAGTCGCCGTTAAGGGAATAAATCATAAAAAAGGCGTAGAACTACTAAATAAAAATGCTTGCCAGGAAAATAATCTTATTGTTGAAAGTCATACAAATATCCAAAACTAGAATGCTTGTAATAACTACAAGCGGCTCTAAATTAAGGTCCGTATTTATGTATAAACAAAATCGAAGTTCGGTTATATCAGGTGAATTTAGAGGTAGGTAGTAACAAATCCGTAAATGTATTTAACAGTTACAGATTTGCTAATGTCTATCTCTAAATTCCAGTGTAACACCGGAACAACCTAGTACTTAAAAAACCGAACTTCGATTTTAGTTCAAGGACGACTTATCCAACTCCGACTCACCTGAGTTTTGTTTATAAATACGGACTTAAATCCAAACTGACAAATAAAAAGAAGAAGAAGAATTGTTTTCTCAACTCACGTGACCATGTGAAAATTCCCAAGGCCTACATTAGAAACATTTTTTGTGAAATATTTTAATATATAAAATTTACTTTACTTTACTTGAATACCTATTCCAACAGTTAAAGGTATATCAAAAATATTTGTATTGACCATCTCTACTTCCACTTCGCTAATTTCTTGTTATAGAGACGAACTCAATAAATTATTGTAATGCGTTAATATTGATATTTTCGTTAGTTTTGTGCCTTTTACTTTTTAAATTATTTGGAATCAAAAAATTTACGTACTCAACAGCGACTGGTCGATGAGAGGAATGTAATCTACCAGTTTTATGATCTATACACTATTATATACAAGACAAAGTGATCAAATTAAGTATCTGTTCATTTTCCTATCAGACGCTATCTCGAACACAGGAACGGCACCAGTGACAAAATTTTGGAATCAAATTAACAACAATACTAGTAACTTCTATTTAATCAATTTTATTTTCTATAATAATTCTTCTGGTTTCAATTTTACAATCTGTTCAGATGCTGCCCATATTTTGTTACAGAAAACTTTGTCACTTGAATGTAATGGTTTTAAATTAGGAAAATATTTTCCAAAAAATATCCCAGTAGTATTTTTAAATTTTTTGGAGGTAGCTAAGTTTATACCTGCTTGGGCAGCCTTTTTTGGCGACTAAAAAATAAAAAATAATTAGTTAATAATTAAATTAGGAAAAAATATGTTGGTATAGATAAAAAATGATTTTATGTAAAAAGCTATTTTATATATACCATAACTGCAAGAAAATATTCGTAGTAACATGCAATAGACATTAATTGAAGCAAACTACGTAATTTTTTTTATGGCTAAAATACAAATTTAAATTTTCTTGTCTCTTGTTGATTAAGAAATAAAGTCAATTTCCTAATTTCGCATTTATTAGATATTTGTAAAATACAAACTAATCGTTTCTGTATCAGATCCCTATCTAATAGCACAAAGTAGCTATTCCCCAATAATTTTAATAAATTCATGTGTGCTATCAAATGAACATTAAATACAGAAAGGCGCATCCTATACGCGTCGCTTTCTGTAAGAAAAACGGCTTAACTTTATTTTTTTCTCAACAGAGATATACAGGACTATTAACATAAATAATTAAAAATAATTTGGATTATACGGGATGGACCAAATATAAGAATGTATATCAAAATTATGTTTTTTTTAATAGAACACTCTATATTTGACGGTGGCTTTGATTCCATAAAAAAAAAGGAAAATTTTGTAATCTTTTCTACACCTATTTTTTTTTGTTTTTGAAATTTGCGAGTTTGAACAACTTAACATTGTATGTCAATCACCAAGGACTAATAACATGTAATCACATTATTATACTTCCCACACATACAAGAACCACCTGTACTAATTATCGAAAGTACCTACCTACGAAATGCGTAAGGATTTTCATCACTAGGCATAATAATTATGGTCCATTATTATGAAATGTGCACTCATCCTAAAACATTATCAAAAAAATTTGCATCTCATCATGCTTTTTTCATAACCCATACACAAAAATTGTTTCATTGTTGAAAGTCCCATTGATACACATAGGCGCCGGAACTAAAAAATTGCTTTGGGTGCCCGGCCTCTATATGCTACCCCCCCCTTCTCCCCTCCACACATAACTTAGGGGCATTACTAATTTTTTAAAAGCACTTTAAAGCGTTGATTTTATGAAAATTTTATTAAAAAAAAAAGGTATTGTCAAATGTCGAATTGCTAGAGTTTTGAGGATTGAAGTGGCAGATGGAATATCAACAATCGTCAGGCTGGAGGCTCTCATCTAAATCGGGATATCTGGCATCTGGCAATCCTATATGCTATATGCTCGGTGCAGCCACCACTGGTATTCAGTGGTGCTGCGGTGCTAGAGTGCCAATGAAATATGTAGAAACACAATATAAAACATTTATTTTTGATGATTTATTAATACACATATAATGTATTGTATATATACAGAGTACCATTTGAAAACAAAACAGGGCCAATTTTGGGCATCCCAGGTCATTTCCAAAAAAAAAAACGCTTGGGCTGTCAATTTTTTATTTTAGGGAGAAACTTTTTTTGTTAGTTTCACCTTCTGAACGGAAACCCTTATCCGTAAAATCTTATAAGGAAAGAGGAGTGAATGATAGCTTATTTCAAAGTATTTTTACATAGATTATAACCCCCGAGTTTTAAATCGCTACTGTCTTCCTAGCCATGATCTATTAACGATTTTTATTGTCTGTAAAAGCTTACCAGTTACTCGACTAAACGCTGGAAATGCCGACCATTTGCCTCTATGCAATAATAGAGGTTTTGCTTAAAATGCTCTCGGACATTTTGAAGCATCTGTGTGGTGATTTCATGACATTCATCAATTATCCGTTGTCGCAGATTTTCCAATAATATTGGCTGGGTGGCATACATTTTAGTTTTTAAGGGGCCCCATAAATAAATCTAACGGGGTTAGATACGAGACCGTGGGAGTAACTCAATACTTTCCCTTCTTCTGATCCATTGACCTGGAAACGTTTGAACCACATACTGACGAACAGTCAGTGCAAAATGGGTTGGCGCACCGTCTTGCTGGAATACTTAGTTGATTGATATGTACTGATCGTCATTCCAGATACATGTCTGCAGTTAAAGTTCCAGGTAAAAAAAGGGGCTTATTATACGGTTAGAAAAAATGCCAGCCCAAACATTCAGTTTTTCCGGATGTTGCGTATGCACTTTGTGAAATATTCTGGGATTTGAATCGGAACAATAATGATAGTGCATTCGTCTGAAAAACACGTTGAAAAGAAATTACTGATCATTTATCGTTAAGTTCTTTTACCAGATGTATTTTGTAGGGATGAAACTTGTGTTTTTTCAGTGTTTTCTTCTTTTAATATCAGATGTTATCGCCAACTGTTTTGTACTCAATGTGGGTTCTTGAACAACATGCCCTAAAATCGCCACCTAGTATGTAGCTTCATTTACTACAGCATTTTCCATTTCACGTTATTTGTTAGCTATTGACCCTGTTTCCCAAAATTTTTGAACTAACTCCAAAATATAATTTCGATTTTGATGTTCATTGTTAAACAGTTGGGCAGTTTTATTAGCACATTCATTGTTTGCAAAAAATTATTTACACCCTCTCAGCAAATGAATAAACCATTATCACTGATATGCCACTTTTATGCCGCCTCTACAACGAAATAAACTACACCTTACTACTTTGCGGCGACCAAAGAATGTTATCTGATAATAATAATTGAAGGCCACAGGAATAACACTAGAATTGTTACAAAAAATTCCCTTTTTTTTTAATAACAATGTAAAAATTATGGTAAACCGGTTTTGTACTTTTGGTAAGCCACTGTATGGGCTACGTAGATAGTAGCGATGTAAAGCTCAGGAGTTATAATCTAGGTAAAAATACCTTCAAAATAAGATATCTATCGACCCCTCTTTCTATTTAAGATATAAGGAGTGAGTATTACTCCCGATATAGGGTTTCCGCTTAGAGAGTTTTTTAGTAAATGACTTGGTTTCTCACCAGCACTACTAGAGAGCTAAATAAACATTCTTTTCTAACGGTCTTTGGTAACTTTCAAATGTTCTCCCTTCTCTCCTTAAGCATTTTCTCAATAACATATGTACAGAGCTCTTGTCTTGATAATTGTGGACCGTTATTATGCTACGTTTGAATATCCACATCCGATGGATGCATTTTTTAAATCTTGAGCGGTTGTTTATCCACATCAGACAGATCTGTCCTACTACAATTATGTATAATAAATCACGTGATCAAAGATTTACAACATTTTAAATGCATCCGATGTGGATATTCAAACGCAGCATTAGTTGTTCTTTTTTACGTCATAGGGTTTTATACACCAAGAATAATAAACCCTTAATCCAAGTTCAACGCGTTGTCAATGACAAGTGATGGCGACTTTTTTAGCATAAAAAATATAGCTCCGAACGATAATATTTTATCGAGGCATTCTATCGCTATACCAACTTGGGCCACGACAGCTTCTTTATTTCACTTATTGACACTTTTTGTCCACGTTGTGCTGTGGGTGCTCCGCACCCAGTTTAAAACTGCTCTGGGTGCTTGCGCCCGGGGATTCGGCGCCTATGTTGATACAGTTCTTGGTGCAGCTGTATCTTATAAGTATGAAATTTGTGTTTTATTATTCGTTCAATATTTCTACTTATTCCAGTTTCTTCCATAGAAACGGCATAGAAAGCCAATTCCATACATCACCACCAGTGGTACGTTACACGATCCTGCCGACCTAATCCAAAATAACACAGCTCTGCGATGTTTAGCGGCATTACGGAGTTTTTGAAGAAAATACAACGAAAATTGCACATATGCATTATTGGTTGCCTAAATCAATTATCAGGACTGGGCTGGTACTCTGTGTCATGCACAATTCTACTTATCGTTTTCTACAATAGAAATCGATTACTTTCTTTTGTGGCACTCTGTGTAACATAGCGGAAAACCAACAAGTATATACTTACTACAGGATAACTAGTTTCATAAGAAACCACATTGCGATATTTCCCGTGCGGTTGATAACGTATTCATCACAAAAGAAAGTAATCTATTCCTATTGTAGAAAACGATAAGTAGAATTCTACATGACACAGAGTACCAGCCCTGGATCGCCTCCTCCGCCCGTCTGTTTTTTATTACGATATTTTCTTATATCAAACTTTCTTACTCTAAAATTAATTTAAACGAAGCTGTATCGGAGATATTCTGTGATTTGATTAGGGTGTTTTATTGTTGCAAAAAATTTTAGTTTACTTAATCGAGAAAATGAAGCGCTGATAAAATCTTATCTTTCAGAACGTAAGCAAATGGTAAGAGGTAAGAATTAATATGTACTGTCATGAAATCCTAATCCGACCCTGTATACACACGCAATCAACTCGTGATCAAAGCAACGCTGACGTGTGGAAACAGCCGGACCGCGTCTCAAATGTACCAGAATACGACGGAATGTTTGCCGCTGTTGCACTGGAAGCGACTGGAATGGCGGAGAGTGCCGCTTAGTCATAAGAAGGAATATTCGAGACGACCGTCGAGAGCCTCTAGCATTTTCCAGTAGCGAAGTTGGACTAATATAAATAGCCGACGTATCAGCGCCGAGTTTAGTTTTAATGTAGGACATTGTATTGAAAAGTTAAAGTGTAAGAAATAAATATTACATAAATTAAATAGTACGTCTGAAATAAATTGTAAATAATGTGTTTTTAAATAAATAAACTACAAATAAATTAGACTTTCGTCACAGTACTATCAAGTTTTAGTTATAAGTTAGGGAGTCCATCATGGTTCTGTGTTGTCCCATTGTATTCCTTCTTTATATAAATGACTGTAAGTACGTTCACTCTAATTGCTGATAACACTACGATTTTATAGCAAAGAAAAACACCTACAGAAAATCATAACATTGAATGGGCTAATACAATAAAATTTCTGAGCATTGTTCAGACAATAATTATTAGAAATTAAAAACCATATAAAATTGCTGACCAAAAAACTTTCTTCTGGATGTTTTGCTGTTGGGATTGTGGCTAAAAAAATAGTTTTTAACCCAACTAAAAGTGTATATTACGCTCTAGTTGAGTCCCATTTAAGATATATGGAATTAAATTTTAGAGAGGTTGTAGCCGTGAGTTTGTCAAAACAGTTTTTGTTAGCAAAAAAGAACAATACAATTTTTATGTAAACAATCTCGACACATTTTGTCAACCTTCTCTAGTAAGAGAATTATGTCACAAATTACTGTCGACGACACTGGATTGATAAAAAAATATGATATGGACATCAATGCCATATTTATTGATGATGATGATGATGATTTTTAAGGAAAAAAGACTGCTTTCGACATTATCATTCATTTCGGAAAATAAGGTGGCCAACATATCTGGTTTTGTTGTCAGAACTTTAAAAAAACATGTTAAATGTTTAAATTGCATGGAGCTATTAGTCTGTTCTGATGCTACTGAGAAAGACAACCTTGCGCTCTTTAATATAAAATGATTTGATAGCACCATCACAAAATATATTAAAAACATATACTTTTATCGAGAAAAATTTACGTCAGATCTTATCCCTTACTAATAACATGATGCCTTCTGAACCAATTTTATTGAAATTTTTAACAAACACTTTAGTATTTTTTCTATTTGATAATAATTATTCGAATGAATATGACGACCAGATATTTATTTATTCTGTAGGAGAAGAAAGCCATAGAATGAAAATATTCAGGTTAATAACAAAATTTATTGTACAATCCAGCCAAAGCGCAAACTGAAATTGATGAGGGAACATCTATCAAAAAATTTTTTCCAAGCTCATTCTTCTCCATCACTAATAATAAACTTTAAAGTAGTGAAGTGTAAGTATGTAATAGGTATAAGACGAGTGCAAAATAAATGGCGCAACTACACTGAGAAATGACTTTGTATTTGCTTGTCTATGTACGTTTTTTATCTGAAATCAATCAATAATAATTTAATTTGTAGTGTTAATGACCCTGTATATTCCAGTTTTCCCTACAGAGACCGAAGCGTATAGAATGCACCACCCTGTATATAAAAGAGAGCTAATCTATATTGATCAAAATTAACGTCTTCAACTGCTTTAGCATAAGGTTAAATTGTATCCGTAGAAACCTAGTACATAAATTAAATATTAACATACCACTCCGAATAAAATGGAGACTAGAAAAAGTGAAAAATAAATTGACAGATCCCAAAAACTGTAATAATTCAAATGTACTTGAGTATTTTTAAAAAATGTCGATTGGACTATCCCAGGATGGTAACAATTACAAGTTATGTTGAACCGTTTTAATTTTTCTGCAAACATGTCTGATGTTACAACAGTCATTAATTTTGCGTTGGCATAGTCACGCATTCTAAAAAGAGGAAGCTGTATAGTATCCGACGTTACAAAATCTCTAGTCATATTGTGAAAGAAAGATGCTACTGATGCTGTGAAGATTATTCTGCCACCATTACTATTTTTCAGTAAATCTGCAAAATAAATAAAATATATTAGTATAAATATTAACATGGGAATATTCTATATTTTTAGATGAAAAATTTTGATAATAGTAATTAATACAAAATGATCCTAATTTATAAATTACTGCACTGGGCCACTTCACTAACAGAAAAGATTAGTCTAACCGAATGGGTAATCCAAAAATAAGTAACTGCTTTAATTTACCCTGTAACAGAACTTGTAAAAAGTAATAACTTATTTAAATACTTTTTTAATGTATACACATCAGTATATTTGGTATACCGACTTAGTTAACCTGGTTACTGAATTCATATTCCAGAACAGGGATTCTATGTGCGAACTCGACACGTTACGTGTTGATTACAGAGAGACATTGGAAGGATTGCAGTCTGTCGAACGAAGATAGACGTCTCGACATATGCTGTATTGATAGATGAGAATCGCACTGCTGAAGTCTAGTTGGTATACGAAACTTGTTTACTGAAAATCGGTTGACAGATCTATGACCAAAACAACCGGAATATCCTGGAATATCCAGCGGTGTGAGTAGTTGAAGACTGACAATTGTTTACAGAAACCGTTGTTGTCACCAAAAAACAGTAACATTTTGTGTCCATGTTATATTAAAGAAATACATTTTGGTATCCACGGCAACTCTAAGCCTTCTGCAGAGTAATTATTTCACTTTGCTTGAATCAGACTATTATTGAAATAAAAAATAGTGTTGCTTTATTCATTTATTATTTCAAATCTCAATAACGCAAAAAATCTTTCCTTTTGACATTTGACAATTATTTACCAGTTTTTGTTTCGCAAATATTTCCATAAACTGGTAACTAAAGCCAAACCAGCCTGAAAAACTAAAAACCAGACTAGTTAACCAAGATGATATACGGAATATTACGGTATGTCCTGAGTGTTTGATTAAGGACTCTTAGCGACTATATCTCAGAAACTATTTATCCTACAGCTTCGAAAACATTTTTTATAACAAAGTTGGTCAAGAGAAAGTGCTGGAAATTATTTTCAACTTTCTATTTTAACCATTAGAGGGCGTAATTCGCTATTATAATACAAACAATTACTTTCCCCAAAACTCCTAGTTAATACCTCACTGCATGCAAGTACTCAAAGCTTGTGTGGTACTGTTTGGAAGTCCTAACAGAGTTGGGTAGTCAAAATAGACTAATTTTAACCTGGGTATCGGACCACACTGGGAATAAGACAATAAAGAGGAGGATCTTTAATTGCTCTTAATGGCACAAAACACGTCTGTGGTGCCACAAAACATTTTTGTGGTGCCACATAGGTAGTTGTTAAAGCATTCACAAAGGCGTGGATGTTAATGGTGACGTGTGACCGACAAATACAGAGATACGAGTCATACCAGTGATAACTTGAGATGCCTATGAAATAAGCTGTCATTAAAGAAGAAAAAAACTATAATTTCCGAAATACGTAATTTTTTCTAAAGACTATTTAAGAATTTTTTTGTGAACAATTTACTTGTACCTATAAGTAGATGAGTTAGAAGAAATGGACCATAATAATTAATTTGTAAGGTCTGATTTAAACCATCTCCAGAGGGAGTTTCAGGACCTTTGCCAATTCCAACATTATTTACCAAAATATCCAATTTTTCTTCGTATGTTTTTAACTTTTGAACGAAGTTCCTGATAGATTTAAATGAAGCAAAGTCAACATATTCTAAAACTATATTAGAATTGTCTGTTTCACCAATGATAGCTTCTTTGATGGTTGCATCTACTATTCTATCAGCTATTATAACTTTACATCCTCGTGATGCCAGAGAAAGTACAATTTGGTAACCGATCCCTAAAAAGAAAATTTAGATTAAAAACATGCCTAAATAAATACATTTTTATTCAAGAATTTTTTTGTGGCTCTTGCGGTAGTACCTCAGTTTTAAGAATTGTTGATTCAAGCGAGCAAGTTCGTGAGAGCATTGTATAAAGAACTAAATAGTAGTCTCACCTTACCAATAGATGGCGCTAGTGAATATGGATAAGTCGATATTTGCTTGCAGTGGGCGGAGTTGAGGGTCCAGCAGAAATTTTTAAGAATGACTGAGACCGATCGATGGATTTCTATTTTTAGCTCTTGGATGAAATTTTATACACTCGTGATTGAATGTTTGGACTATTTTCTATCTAATGTTTGTTATTGTGCGTTAGTGCGTTTACGGGTAGTAGGTATTGTGAATGAGTTGTGTTTATGTTTTATTACTGAATTATTTTACTGTTAATAATGGACGAGTTCCCAAAAAAAATTTGTGTATTTATAACTGTTTTGAAATTAATAAAATAGAAAATATGCTTTTGTTTTTCGTTTCCTTATTTACAGGTTTTATCCTAATTAATTTAAAATAAATTATATAATATTAATAATAGCAATAATAATACATTTCTTAAGTGTTGAAAAAATTGTATTTTTAATTTAAATACCTAAGTACTTAGCATAAGTAATTATAAACAACAGGTTATTTCTTTAATCTGGTGCGTAACAATGTAATAAAAAAAAACCCTTAAGATGGTTGGTAAATAATATAAATGAATTCTTAATATTGAAGTAAACACAATGGGTTCTATAAGGATTATTGGTTGGGGTTCGGCTTTGGGGGATAGGGTCGAAATATTGAAACTAAACTTGGTATATGGATGTATTATCCCATAAAAATAAAAATCGCTTTAAAAAATTCACCCCTCCCCACCCCTATCTGATATGGTGAGGGTGGCATTCCCAAAAAATTAAGTTAGAACTTTTTAAATAAAACAGTTGAAGTCTACGATTTTTTATACATAAAAACACAAAATTCCAATTTTTTTGAAAAAAATTTTCCAAATTTTTTTTGAACTTAGAAAAAATTTCGACTTTAATCTTCATAGTTCGGATGTGGGGGCTGGCATTTAAAAATAGTTACAGACGACATAAAAATCTAATTTTTGACATATTCATAATATAAATGATTTGCAACATTTTTGTATAAAAATCTTACCACCACCATCCCTTGGAGGGAAATGGAGGGGATGGCATCCCCAAAAAATCAAGTTAGAACGTTTTAAATAAAACAGTTGAAATCTACGATTTTTTATACATATAAACCCAAAATTACAATTTTTTTTGAAAAAAAATTTTCAATTTTTTTTGAACTTTGAAAAAATTTCGACTTTCATCTTCATAGTTCGGATGTGGGGGCTGGCATTTAAAAATAGTTACAAATACATAAAAATCTTATTTTTGGCATATTTACAATAGAAATGATTTGCAACATTTTTGTATAAATATCTTACCACCACCATCCCCTAGAGGGAGATGGAGGGTGTGGCATCCCCAAAAAATCAAGTTAGAGCTTAAAAAAAAACAGTTAAAATCTACAATTTTTTATACATGCAAAATTTCAATTTTTAAATCAAATTATTAAATTAAATTATTTTTTTAATTTCTTTATTATATTTAATATTATTTCTACTTTTTCTAACAATAATCAATTTAAGATATCTACTTTGATTGAGCCAAAATATTTAGTAGGGAAAGTTTCTAATATTATACAAACATACTGTGTGTCCAAAAAAAATATATGAATTTGGCTAAACATTAATCTTTATTTCTAAAAACAGGAGAACAATGTTACTTGAAAAATGTATCTAGAATTAATATTTACCACCATCAAATCCTGGACCTGGACACAATTTTTTTTAGCAATACGGGAGAAGCGGAAGTGACATTTTTACAAATGAAATTAATTTCAACAAATTTATTTGAGATCATGTACAAGATTATTCATTATTACACCTTTTATAACCACTATTGCATATTCAAAAAAGCTTTAAATAAAAGTTTGTGAATATGACTGACTTTTTTTTAATATACCATAAAAACACGTATTCAGATTTCACGGAATACAACACAAATAAACTTTTTTAAATGGGATACCCTCTATGTTATTAAATTTCTGGGATATTTTTTTTCTAATTTCACAAATGTATATTATTGATAACCCTATCTTATACCGTCTGTTCTCGAGTAATTTAACGTTGATAATGTAAACATGAAAAAGTTAACATTATTAAAGTAAATGCTATGAAAATCACAACTATTATGTTTGATAATAAAATAATCCAAATAGGTAGTTTACAGTGAGAAAGAAAAAGTGTAAATATTTATAAGATATTCGACATAGATTATCTATGATATTCGACGTTTAATTAATCAGGAAAGAATAAAGATCATTTCGAAAATTGAATAAAATATATAGCTATGCTATCTTTATTAAAAAATATTCATGTTAAATCCTGTGAAATATGCACACCACTGATATATGGTCATTTGATGACATTTTTACAAAATTTGGTCAATGTAAACATTATACAATAATAATTATAGCATAAAGGGAGGGTAATTTATAATGAATAACCCTGTTAGGTACCATAAATTTTCAGTAAAAAAATTTTAATTCGCACTTTTTTACGTAAATTAAAGAAAAATGTAATTTTGTGCGTTTTCTTGGTGCAGACATTTTGCGACACACTGTATATTCAAATCCAAAATGATGTATTTTCTTTTAACACATACCTAATACAAATTTATTAGCAAAATTTAAATACTTGTTATTTTCGGTATATTTCTCCTTTAGACACACACATTTTTAGTTTCATTGTCAAAAGATTTAAATAAAATTACCGGACCTTATAATATTCTATTATAATTTGATGATCCCGAGTGGCCATAGCAAAAAGGCGAAATTTGAGCATGAAGATTTAGATGTCATTAACGTAAAATTAATGTTTCGAAATTAATTTAAGTTTTACCAATTTAGAAAATAAAATTAAATAATAAAAAAAAAGTGTCCACCCGGGGGCTTGAACTCGGAAACCTTCGATTCGTAGACAAGTATTCTAAATTTTCGTTATGAAGACTTATGAAAATGTTTTACTTTTTAACGCTGATAATCAGACTGCTTTTAGTTTCATTAAAATCTCAGTTTATTTCTAAATATAGACGAATATCTTGTGGAATACTATTATTTATTGATTCTTTACAAGAATCACTAATTTTTATTTATATTTAATCTAAATAACTAAAAAAATATATACTGACAATTAATTTGACGGAATTGTCACTTATAAAGTTCTAACATCTGACGTAGAGGGCGTATCTAACCAGTAAATAAAATCGTTAGTTCAATGATTGTACCAATAGATGTCGGGCGCGATTGTCTCCAATAACTTTTACATGGCAATTATCCTACTATAGTTCTTTATACAATGGTGAGAGTTTGTGGCAATTGCGGTCCAAAAATTTTAAAATAAAATAATAAAATCGGGGAATTTATTCTTCAGTACGAATACCTAAAATATTTTGATTGGGATACAAATTAAGATTACCTGGAAAACCCAAAATATGCTTATTGAATATATAATAGAATTAATACATTTTAATTCGACCCTTTTAAAGATTAATGGCTTTAGTTTGCAAATTAAACAAGCAATTCTACAAAATAGTTTCCCACTATTTACTTTGTTCTTATTGGTATTTTCATTTAGTAGTACATGATTTACTATTCACGCGTATCATTCAAAATCAGTTTTATATCGGGGTGCTTCAGAAATTTGTTTGATTATGGGTTCGTTAAAAATAGTGGAAACTAGCAATGGGAAACATTGATCAATTCATAATTATCGATTGTATCGGAAAAATTGCGACAAAACCCAGACAGCACAAAGACATCTTTAAGACGTCCATAAGACGTCTGTCAGAGACATAACAGACGTCTAAAAGACGTCTTATGACGCCGGCCAGACGTCTTAAAGACATTTTTAAGACATCTGATGTTACAAAAGGTAACGTTCTTAAGACATCTTGAATATGTCTGGTTTTCGACATTGGTAAGACGTACTCTGGGATTTAGTTTTAAAAGCTTCTGTAAATTTCTTCTATACAAAATAAAACACATATTTTCTATAAACATTATTATTTACAAAACACTGAAACATTTCGTTAAAAAAAGTAATATTACAAATATTTTTTTTTTGGATTCTTCCTCCGTTAGTGGTTAATCTTCTGTCGGATGCTCTTCTGAGCCAGTCTGGGTTGCAATAATTTTAACTGTGCTGTGTAAAATATTATGCATTATAGCTCACTCTGTCAAATTCGCTTTAATAGGATTTTCAGTAGATAGTGTGGGTTAAGGGTGGTCAAATAATGGCAATCTTTCTGTACTTTCAACTCTTAATTCAGATATATTTACATCCGATGAAGCTTCTAAGTCATCTCTAGACGCCTAGACGTACTTAAAACACTAATAAGGGTTCTTCTATTTGGTTTTTCAGTATATGCAGTAAACTGTTATGCTTATAAATTCACAGTAATCCACGGCACAAGACACAAATAAAAAATCAACGAATAACAAACAAAAACTAACCTCTCGGCGTTCATTTTCAACATCAACGACAAATGACAACGAAAGGACAACTGACAACTCAAATCGCGACGAACCACGGAACCCCAATAATACTCACATTCAGATACACGTCCTTGTTTAAATTCTACTGTTGAAAAAAGACAAAGCATAATAAAAACATTCGCTTCGATCGTTGAACCATGTTCTGGTCAAGGTGAAAGAGCGCGTAATTCAATTTGTCTTATGTTTTAATTGTTAATTTTATTTAGAGTTATATTTATTATTATTATTTTTATGTCATCAAATATTTACTTACTCTAATGAACAAATGCTCGTGAATAAATAAAAAAAATAAGTAAATTATGTAAATTAATAAAAAAAATTTAAAAATAAATTTATATTTTGTGAAATTAGA